AATGTGGAGCAAATTGGGTCTTGTCTTGCAATTGGACATAGCTTTGCTCATGCTCACGGACGCATTTGCCGTCGAGGTTCCGGGCTCTGATCTACCCAGCAATCGAGCCAGAGTATTGCCCGCGGCTATTTGACATTCAATTTGTGTGCGCGACATTACAATTGCAAAAAAATAAAAATAGAAATAAAAGTCCGTCTTTGTTGCTACCGGATACTTTTTGGCATGCCAAAAACCGGTTGGCTCATGTGCGAAAAAACATGTAGATCGAGCAATGTGGAGCTATACTATATACATAAATTACACATCGCGTATACACACGAGACTGTGCTCTGCTCTGTTTGCTCTTGAAGTCAGAAAAAAACAACCACTCTACTATTTCATTCTATTCTAATTCAATTTGGTAATGCTCTATTTTATTTATGATAACACCTTAATAGGTCTGTATGTATATGAATAATGTCCGCAGCATAGCTTTCTAATTTGAAAAATTAAAAACACACACGCATAATAATAATATAACGGCTTTTGTCTGGACTCTGTAAATTACTCATCATCGCATGATCGTCGATTATCGATATTGTTAAATCACTATAACCAGTATCGATTGTCCTGCAATAACTATCGGCACGTTATGGTTCTTAGCTATCGCTACTATCGATGGTTATCCACACCTAATTGCAACAATAAGAAAAGCATGAAATAAGGATAAATTAGATATTTTCCAATTGGCCGAAGTTTATTCTATGTATAATACTTACTCTAAAAAGGAAGTAAATAGAAACTTGTATGTAGAAAAGTGTATGTATGTATTGGTTTACCCCATTTGATACTTGAAGTAACATTTTAACGAAATATTTTGTTATATTCTGATTGATTAATAACGTCTATATTAATTTTATGCAACAATAAAGAATAATGTGAACAAAATTACATGTACATAACATTACTATCAATTTACACATCCACATTAGACGAGTATAACAAGTTACATTTGAATTCATTTTCACAAATACGAAAGGTTATAATATGTCTGTATTTAGTTGTGTTCGGGTGCAGTTTGATCCGGTACTTTGTAACCCACACTACTTACTTTTCCAACGATTTTGGAATTATAATATGCATGTGTGATTTATGGATAATAAACAGCTTTGCGCTCATAGTCAATATGCATTTAACGATTTATTACAATAGAACTATTTAACAGACCTTAGGAATCTAAGAATGTTGGGTAATGGAAATTTGGAATGGAGGATGCAATAATACTTCCGTCGTCGCACGTCGCAGCTCTAGTGATGATAATAATCCTGAGCAGCATGGGTGGCTGGAGCCGCCGACTCGTAGGTGGCATAGTGGTCCTGGTGATGTTGCTGGTGCTGCTGCAGTTGTTGCTGGTCCTCGTGTTCATGGTGCACGTTGTAAGTGGGAGCAGCATAAGTGGGCGCAGCGTACGCGACAGGAGCTCTCAACACAGCCGACTGATGATATTGCGCGGGCGCAGCTGGAGCAGAGGCGATCAGTTTGTGGTGGGTGTGGCCCAGGGGCTCGCGATGAACGACGGCATTGAAGCCGTTGACGGAGTCGGCGGTGTACTTCACGGTGCGACGGTAACCGTCGGCGTCGTCCAAGGAGTATTCTCCCTGCACCACGTCGCCGTCACGGGACTCAATCTGGCTTTTAGTGTCGCCGGAAACAGCGTCCTGCACGTCGTAGGCGAAATTGTACTTGGGATGGGGATCATCAGGATAGATCTCACGAGCGTGTGGGTGGGCGTGGATGTCATGTGGCTTTTGGTAGATCACGTGCTGCGGCTGTGGGACTCCGGTGTGGTAAAGCTGTGGCTGCTCGTGCTGCTCCACGGGTATAAGGCCAGCTGATACGGCAGCGACGAGCGAGACCAGTGCCACGAACTGAAGAAAGGGGAATTTGAATATAAGTAGGGATTCTGCGGAAAGGGTCTGTGCACTCACCTTGAAAGCCATTTCGCTAAGATTATGAGTTGCGAAGATTAAATCAGAGCTGTGAAATAGATGTACTCCTGCTATCGAAGTCTGTGCTGTGAATAGTAATTCAGCATCCATAGCATTTGTATTTATAGACGAAATTTGTGGTAGCCCTCATGGCCACATCAATTGGGCCTCAAACTCCATTGTTTCGGACCTTTCTTTCACTTTTTGGTAAGTCTTATAGATATAAATTGAGTTTGAAATCATTTGCATGGCGCTCATTGTGCGGGCTTTGTTTCTTGAAATTTACCAGGCGGGTTAGCGGTCGATCGATTTGGTAATTTGCACCCACGAGACACACCCATGTGGCGAACATGAATGGATGACGGACAACCGCACGAAACAGCCGACAGACAAAAGACTTAAGCAAGTAACTAGACTTTGAGGGGACCGGAGCTAGAGCCGGGGAACCGGGGAGTCAGAGTCGAAGACTAAGCCGGGTGTTGAGTCGAATCATGTAAGTAACCCAATAAAGACAACTTGATCGATGCCAGCATTGCACTTGACATATGCACACACACACACACCCGCACACACAACATACACGCACACACGCCCTTCTCAGCAGCTGTCCGCTGCAATGACCTAAAAAATACAAATATAATCGGACGAAAGCTGACCATTCACCAATACATGCAGCAAGTGCCGGAGCCATGTCTTCGACTCTCGGCTTGTAATGGCTGAGCTTTCGACATGCAGCTTTTGCCTCGCTCGAATAGTGCTCAGTCATGCCATCAATGAGCACACACACACACAGCCAAAGACACAAGCACAAGTGTGTGGGCCTAATGTAAATAGGTATGAAGTGACTAAACGGTTTGCAATTTGATGATGTAACGCTAAGCAGGTCGCACAGTAATTGGGAAGAATTTCGTCTAAGGTCGTTTCTCAATTTATAGGAATATTTGATAAGAGGACCTCTAGTATAGCATTGCCAAACTTTAGATATTAAAGGGTGGATCATTAGGTACAGGTTATATTAAAAAGTGCCAAAATATTTATTATAACTTATTATATTTGTTAATTAACTACTCAAGTTCTTGCAAGAAATCAATGACCTTTCAATTCTGTTTTCGATTTCAATTGCGTTAATTAAAGTGATCGTAGCCTTGAGTGCTGGTAGTAAAAAAGTACAATCAAAAGTTATATTTGTGGGGGAGAAAGGTACAATCAGATTACTCACTCCTTACGCAATCATAAAGAACGTCAATAGCACTTTTGATACGCCAAACTCTCGCTCCGTCTGACATACGTCTGGGCGGTGCCAAGCCGGTTACAATCGAATTGGGCGAGTCATGTTTGGCGCGGAGTGGGAAATTCCGGAGCCGGTAGTAGCTCGCTAAGGTAGCAAGCGAAATCAAGATTTAACAAGTAAGAAGACTCTAGTCGAGACTGCTCGACTAGGAGATACCCTGAACCCTCCAAGCT